CTTATTTAGTTTATTTGAGTGTATTGAGTTTCTTGGATGTATAAATTAATGTTTTTCATGAAATTTGTGAAGTTCTTGACTATTGTTTGTTGAAATATTTTTTCTGTCCTTTTAGTTCTTATTTTTTAATATATTTTATTGATTATGCCATTACAGTTGTCCTATTCCTCCCCTTCATTCCCCTGCACCCTGCACACTTCCTCCCCCACCACTCCCCCCCTTTAGTTTATGACTACCTGCCTCAAGTTCTTTAGATTCTATATTTTCCATATTATTCTTACCCTCCCCCCTATCTATTTTCTACCTACCATCTGTGCTACTTATTTTCTGTACCTTCTCCTTCTCCCACTCCTGTTGCTAACCCTCCACGTGATTTTTACTTCTATGGTTCACTCCTGATCTAGCTGTCCTCTTAATTTGCTTTTCTTTTAGGTGTGGTTGTTAATCACTGTGAGTTTGCTGTCCTTTCACTGTTCATCTTTTTTACCTTCTTTTTCTTAGGTAAGTCCCTTCAACATTTCATATAATAAAGGCTTGGTGATGATGAACTCCTTGAATTTGATCTTATCTGAGAAGCACTTTATCTGTCCTTCCATTCTAAATGAAAGCTTTGCTGGATAGAGCAATCTTAGTTGTAGGTCTTTGGTTTTCATGACTTGGAATGCCTCTTTCCAGCCCCTTCTTGCCTGTAAGGTCTCTTTTGAGAAATCAGCTGACAGTCTGATGGGAATTCCTTTGTAGGTATCCCCTTATCTCTTGCTGCTTGTAGGATTCTCTCCTTCATTTTAATCTTGGCTAATGTAATGATGATGTGCCTTGGTGTGTTCCTTCTTGTGTCCAACTTCTTTGGGACTCTCTGAGCTTCCTGGATTTCCTGGAAGTCTATTTCCTTTGCCAGGCTGGGAAGTTCTCCTTTGTTATTTGTTCAAATAAGGTTTCCACTTGTGGCTGTTCCTCTTCCCCTTCTGGTACCCCTATAATTCAGATGTTGGAGTGTTTAAAGATGACCTGGAGGTTCCTAAGTCTCTCCTCATTTTTTTGAATTCTTGTTTTTTCATATTTTTCTGTCTGGTCATTTTTTTCTTCCTTCTGGTCCACTCCCTTGATTTGGGTCCCAGTTTCCTTTCTATCACTATTGGTTTCCTGTGCATTTCCCTTCATTTCCTTCAGTTTATCTTTATATGTTCCTCTAATTTGTGAGTAAAATCAACCAGTTCTGTGAGCATCCTGATCACCAGTGTTTTAAACTGTGCATCTGATAGGTTGGCTACTTCTTGGTCGCTTAGAGTTATTGACTCTGGGGCTCTTGAGCCATAATGTTTTTATCTTTTTGTGCCTGTTGTGTATGAGGGGCAGAGTCTTAGGTGTTCACCAGGGTGGGGCCACTCAGTTGCTGGTTATGACGCTCTATGTGGGGGCGGGATCAAAGAGGGGCAATAGGGGTCCCCTCTGCTGCTTTCCGTGCCACTGGGGACTGTGTGGTCTGTGTCACTGCTCGCTCCTTCGCCTGGTTTATCTGTGAGCGAATGTGTGACCGCGGTCAGCCTGCTGCCTTTTGCCCTCACTGGGTCCACCCGTTGTTACCCCACACCTGGGATCTGCCAAGGGCTGCCAGGGTGCCTGGGTTGGTCCAGCAGATCTTTCCTGCCAGACCCCTCTCCATTGCTGGCTCCGTCCCTCTTACCCGTTTGGCTGAATGGTTCGTTGTTGTCAGACTTCCATATAGTTCAATTTTCTGTGTTTTGGTTGCGCTTTTGTTACTAAATCTTTTTTGTCTTTAAACTTGGTTGTGTGAGGAGGCATAGTGTTTCCACCTACGCCTCCATCTTGGCTGGAAGTCTGTCCTTTTAGTTCTATTCTGTCCTTTCATTCCTATTATATAAATATATTGATATGTTTGATGGTGGTTCCCCAGACAGGTATCAGAAGCTTTGTTTAATTTTTTTTCCTGTTCCTTAGATTGGATCATGTCAAATGATCATTCTTCAAGTTTGCTGATTCTTCTACTTACGTCTTTACTTGAACCCCTCTAAGGAATTTTTCATTTAAATTAATGTACACCAACATTTTTATAATTTTTAAATTTCTACCTCTTTACTGATATTTCTGTTGTTAAGGCCTCTTTATCATACTGTCCTTTAGTTGTCTGGAAATATTTTAAATGGCTGATAAACATCTCCGCCAACATTAACATTTTGACAGGGACAGTTTGCATTTATTGCTTTTTTATTTTTTCTGTGTCCATATTTTCTTACTTCTTTGCATATCTTATAATTTTTTTTTAGTGAAAACTGGGCATTTTTATTTATACAGTGTGGTAGTTCTGGAAATAAGATTTTTCCCTCTTCTAGGCTTTGTCGTGATTGTTTTGTTATTGCTGTTTGGTTTCACTTTATAATAATTCTGCAAAGTCTGTAATTTTTTTTTGTGTGTTTGGCTTTCAAATGCTCTACTCAGCTTAGTGGTCAGATAATGATTGCACAGGGATTTCTTTGAATGTTCTAAAACAATAAGGTTCCAGTCTTTTCTACACAGTCCTGTGTACTTGTTGGGATAACCCTCAATGCTCAACCAGGCGGTTGTCAACTCTTTCTTACCTTTTCCTTCTGTTTACATAGATTGTGAGTGGCAGCCAGAGGTCCCAACTCTTTGCGAGCATGCACACATTCATGGGCATGAGATGCACTGTCCTAAATAATGTGCAACACCTACATTTTCTGTAATATTTCAGATCTTTTCAAAACCCCTTTTATACATGTTATTCAGGAGCTTTTCTTTTGAAATCATTGCACTTTTTGCCCCATCTGTAGACAGTTGCAGTGTTTAAACAATTACCTCTGATTGTTTTTCACAAACACATGTGAGGGAAAGGGTTTTCCTCAGTGAGTGGTCTCCAAATCAGATGAAATAAATATAGCCACTTGAGTGAGGTTTTCCAGGGAAATACCGTATAGGTCAAATTATGTCAGTGATCTGTGATACAGGGCATTGGCTTATCTCTAGTCTGATCCTTTCAATTATTTTAAGGCTGCTTTTTAAAATAATTAATTGTAGGGTTTCTTTTCTCTTCTATGAGGATCTAGGAAGAGGGAGATGGTAATTGGGTTAACTTAAAATGCCACAATGCCTGTTTGTCTTACCAAGATTAAGTTATTTTCCATGATGTGAAATGTTCTACTACACAGGATTATTCTAAGTCTTTGGTTAATTTCCATAGTCAAAACAGTTGATTTTAAAAGTTTTTGTTAGTCTTATTTCTTTCATGTATGGGAAAGGATTTTCAGAGATATTTATTATTTTTTCCAACCTCACTTTCAATGATTTTTTTAAGAAAGTTAAGTAATGAAAAGTATTTTATAGATGTACTCATGTGGCTGCCATTTCTGCTGCTCTCCATTCCCTACCTACGCTGATAAATATTTGAATATATCATTTTCCCTCTACATGAAGGGACTTTCTTTAATTAATGTTTCCTTTAGTATGGGTTGACTTATGATGAATATTTTCAGGTTTGTATATCTGAAATTGTAATTATTTGGGCCTTCATTTAGTAGTGATGTACTTTTAAAAACAAATTTTAAAAGAATAACCTTACAGAAAAATTCCGTGAATTTTAAAACATACTCATTTGAATAAACACTTATATATAGTCTGAATACAGAATAGGTCACTATCCCATGACGGTCACTCACCATATTTCTCATCTTTGTACCTTCTGCCCTCCTATACATTTCCATTTTCTATGGAAAGCACTTGTCTTTTCTCCCTTGATGTTGCTTTTCAAAATGTCATATAAATGGAATCATATATGTAAAGTTTTGAGTCTGGCTTGTTTCATACAGTAGTATGTTTAAGAGAATCAAGTAGTTAAATATGTGAGTTCCAACAGTGGATTTTTCTTGTAAATTTTGATTTTAATTAATTTTACTGAGATATAACTTAAAAGATAGCTTAAAAGATAGTTCATGATATTTTTTTATTTTCACCTCAGGATATGCTTATTGAGGTTTAGAGAGAAGGGAAAGGAGGGGCAGAGAGAGGGAGAGAGAAACATCCATGTGAGACAGAAACATCAACTGGTTGCCTCTTGTACATGCCCCAACCAGGGACTGAACTGCAGTCTAGGTATGTGCCATGACTGGGAATCACACATGTGACTTTCTGGTTTATGAGATGATGGTCCAACCTACTGAGCCACACACAGGCCAGCTTAAAGTGTATAGTTCATTAAATTTTTAATAAATTTGTATACTCATGTAACCACATTCATAGCTATTCTATTTTTATTATCCCTTATGTGCCCATTTATAGACATTTTTCAACCCCGCCTGCATTCCCCATCAACCTCTGATCTGTTCCTGTTACTTTTGTTTTGCCATTTCTAGAATTTTATATCACAATATGTGCTCTTGCGCCTGGTTTCTTCCTGTGGCATAATGTTTCATACTTACAATGTTGATGTCTGTACCGATAGTTTATGTTTATTGCTGGGTAATATTTCATTGCATGGTATATACTGTAGGTAATAATTTAGGAAGTCTGATGTTTTTATTCTTTTAAAAATAGTACTGTAGTTTTAAGTAGGTATAATAAACTCTAGTACCTTATGTAATGGAGCTTTATTTCATTGGTACTATTCTAAAATTATAATTATTTTGATGTAATTATTTTTACCTAGCTCTTTTTTCTTACAGTTTAGCAAGATTTAAAAAAATACATATATAAATATACTAAGAAAATTTGCCAACACTAGAATGTGAAATTTAAATCTAAATTTTAAAAAACATTAAGTTTTTAAAATTAAGTTTTATTTTACTGAATAGCATAAAATGCTGCTTACCTGGTTTTATTTCAATTATTAGTTGCTTTCTTTCACCTAAACTATGGTAAGTCTGAAAGTATTAAGAGAATTGTTTTTATGCTATCCATCTCTGAGCTGACCCAAGCAGGACTTTTTATTTTTTGAATATGAAATTAATGATATCTATTTATTTTGACAGGCTTTTGGAAATGCAAAGACAGCTCATAATAACAATTCAAGTCGTTTTGGCAAGTTTATTCAAGTAAATTACCAAGAAACAGGCACTGTACTTGGGTAAGTGGCAATGTCAGACTTTGGAGCATGTTTTGTATTTTTGTTATTGTCCCTTTATAAACCATAGATTATTCATTTACTCTTTAATGAGAATAGTGACATTGGTATCTGCATTACATTTATTCTTTTCAACTGTTTTTGTTTTGGAAAAGTTTAAATGTGATAAAAATTCTAAGAATAATATAACATTTACCTTTTACTTAGATTATTGCTAACAATTTGCTGCGTTTGCTTTCTTTCCGTATTATGCATACATTTATTCTTAAAAAATGTTTTTGAGTAAGTTGGGCATATAACTTGACCCTGTTATTACTGTATTTCCTAAAGCAACCACAACCACATTTACCTACATAGTACTGTTATTATACTGAAGAAATTTCATTTTGTTACACTATATGATCTGCAATCAGAGTCTTCTGGTTGTGCCAGCATATATTTTATAACTTTTATTTTTAATTAATAGATTTTATTTTTAGAGCAGTTTTAGGTTCATGACAAAAATGAGTAGAAAGTAGAGTGTCCATATAACTCTTCATCCTATCCCCCAGTTTCCCCTGTTAATGTCTTGCATTAATGTGCTCTATTTATATTGTATATTCTATAGGCTTTGAAAAACATATAAAGACATGCGTTCCTTATTTATAGTATCATACGGGATAGTGTCACTTCCCACCAAATTCTCTATGTTTCATCTATTTATCCTTCTTTCACCCAGTAACCTTTGGTAACCACTAATATTTTGCATAGTTTCTATAGTTTTGCTTTTTCTGGAATGCATTGTAGTTGGGATCATATAGTATATAACCTCTACAGATTGCATTATTTTTCTTAGAAGTATGTATTTTCATGGCTAGATTTTATTGTATTAATGTTAAAGGTATATATTGATTTGGGGATAATTGACATCTTTGTAGTTTTAGAAATGTTAAGTTTTTTGTATTTTTTTGTTAGCAGATTGATTTTATTGATTTTTTAAATTATATGTTATTGATAATGCTATTACATTTGTCCCAATTTTTCCTTCTCTGCCTCACTCTACCTAGCACCCCTCACTTTCTCAGGCAATCCCCACACCATTGTTCATGTCTATGGGTCATGTGTATAAGTTCTTAGACTACTGTATTTCCTATACCATACTTTATATCCCTGTGGCTGTTCTCTGACTACCTTTTTGTACTTCTTAATCCCCTCACATCTTCACCCATTCTCTCATACCCTTGTCCATTCTTGCAACAATCAAATGCTTTCTGTAGCCATAATTCTGTCTCTGTTCTTCTTGTTTGCTTAGTTTGTTTGTCAAATTCACTTGTTGATAGATCTGTTTTTATTCTTCCCAGTTTTGATCTTCTTTTTCTTAAATAAGTCCTTTTAACATTTCATATAATAATGGTTTGGTGATGATGAACTCCTTTAGTTTTTTCTTATGTGGGAGGATCTTTATCTGCCCTTCAATTGTAAATGGAATTTTTACTGGCTAGAACAATCTTTGGTGTAGGTCCTTACTTTTCATGACTTTGAATATTTCTTGCCAATCCCTTTTAGCCTGCAAAGTTTGTTTTGAGGAATCAGCTGACAGTCTTATGGGAACTCCCACTTAGGTAACTGCTTTTCTCTTGCTTCTTTTAAGATTCTTACTTTGTCTTTAACCTTTAGTATTTTAATTATGATGTGTCTTGAAATGGGCCAATTTCTATCCATCTTGTTTGGCACTCTCTGTGCTTCCTGGATCTGGATGTCTATTTACTTCATCAAGTCAGGGAAGTTTTCTTTCATTATTTCTTGCTCTTTCTTTTCTTCTTCCGGCACCCCTACGATGCTAATGTTGGAACACTTGAACTTGTCACAGGGGCTCTTTACACTATCTTTGTTTTTTTTGGATTCTTTTTTGTTCTTGTTATGATTGGCTATTCTTTGCTTCTTTATATTTCAAGTCATTGGTTTAATTCTGGCTTTGTTCACTTCACTGTCATTTCCCTGTAAATTGTTCTTTATTTCATTAGTGTATTCCTTATTTCTGCTTGGATCATTTTTTTATGTTGTTGAGCTTTCTCACTAAGTTCGTTGAGCATCCTTATAACTAGTATTTTGAACTCTGCATCTGATAGATTGCTTATCACCATTTTGTTTATCTGTGGTTTTTGGAGTTATGTTCTGTTCTTTCATTTGGGCCGTTTTTTTGTCTCCTCCTTTGGCGGCCTCCCTGTGTCTCTTTTTATGTCTCTGTCCCTCCTGCCTGTCTGGATGGATGTGGTTTCTTTAATTCTGTAGTTGTTGGACTCCCATTCAACTCAATTTCTGATAATCGTAAGTGATGCTTGTTCTGTAGTTCAGTTGTAATTTTGGTATGGTTGTGCAAGGAGGCACGCCACGTTTACCTTCGTTGCCATCTGACTGTAAGTCCAGCTTTTTGTATTTTTTGTTGCATTTATTTCTGAGTATTTAAAAAATGTTTAATTATTAAAAGTGTGATTTTTCTTTTGTAGTATATCTGCAAATTACATGTTGTTTTTATCTGTGAAGGCTATTGAGTTTTATATTTTATACTTAGTTATTTTGTTGTATGAGTTTTAAATACTTTTGTTTCTTTTACCTTTTCTAGGTATATAATTATATCTACAAAAATAAATACATTTACTTTTTCTTTGTTCTTATATCTCTGGTTATTTTCTACCTTGTCTGATTGTAAACTTCCCATACTGTGATAATATTGTTTCAGACTTTTACGTGAATGCCTTTATTGTTTTCCCACTAAGTGAAATTCTGGGTTTAGGGGATTTTATTATGTTAATGAGTTATGGGTCAGCTTAAAATTTTTTTGTCAGTAATGTTTATTTCATTTTACTAAAGGCCTTTTTGTCATCTATGGACATTAGCATGATCTTCATTCTGAGATATATTAATATTATGATTATTCTAATGTTGAATAATTTCTGTATACTAGGGAATAGCATCCCATTTGGTCATTACAGAGACACACACTCACATGCTACATACACAGACATATTTATATGCACATGTATTTACAATGTTGTGATCTGTTTGTTGTTATGTATGATTTTTTAAAAAATTGTTTATTTATTTTTAGACAGAGGGGAAGGGAGGGAGAAAGAGAGGGAAACATCAATGTGTGGTTGCTTCTCGTGCGCCCCACACCAGGGAACCTGGCCTGCAATCCAGGCATGTTCCCTGACTAGGAATTGAACCAGCGATCTTTGGTTCTTAGGCTGGTGCTCAGTACATTGAGCCACACTAGCCAGGGTTATTTATGATTTTTTGCATGCATATTAATAAGCGAGATTGATATGTATTTTTATGCTATTTTACTCATGCTTAACTCTTACCACTTTAATTTTGTATGTATGTGTGTATATATGTATTTATGTATATGAGTTTATTTAAGCCAAACTGACAACATACACTGGGGCGCGAGATATGAAATGCTTCTGTATGTAGATTTAAAAATTTTGACCTAGACCTGGCTGGTGTAGCTCAGTGGATTGAGTGCAGGCCTGTGAACCACACGATTGTGGTTTGATTCCCAGTCAGGGCACATGCCTGGGTTGCAGGCCAGTTCCCAGCAGGGGACTCATGAGAGGCAACCATACATTGATATTTCTCTCCTTCTCTCCTTCCCTTCCTCTCTAAAGATAAATAAATAAAATCTTTATAAATGAATAAATAAATAAATAAACAAAATGTTAAAGCAAGCAAGCAAGCAAACAAACAAACAAACAATTTTGACCTAAACTATGTGTTTTTTTCTCCTCCCAACCTCCAAGGAAACAAAAACAAGTATACATCCTTCTTTTTTGATTTGCAGAATGTTAGTTTCCAAAGGTACAGTTGATACTTTTACTCGTAAAAGCAGGATGCAGTCAAATCAGGCTGGTCTTTCTCAGTATTTATGATTGTGCTTCACGAGAGTTTGTTAGTAGATAAAGTGTTTGTATTGCTTTTTAACCTACAAAGTACCATTACACACACACACACACACACACACACACACGCGCACACACACACACACACATTCATAAGACAGTTTCATGACTTAGGAATGGCAGATGTGTATTTTTCCATTTTATGAATGAACTCAGGCTTGTCTATGTCAAGTAATTACCTAAAAATTAGTTAATAAACAAACATTTATGGAGTTCATTGTAAGTATCAGGCACTGGGCTAACTTTGAGGATGTAAAAACATGTAGACATGTTCTCTGCCATTAAAGTTCTCATAGTCTCTTTGGGAAGGTAGATATTTATATAAGATAATTACAGAAAATGACGTAAATGCAGTGATTGTATGTGTCTAGAGGACTTCACAAGAAAAGGTGATTTTCATCTTGGGTCTTAAATATTTGCCAAGCAGGAAAAGTGGGAAATCACATTATTGATTGAGGAACTTGCACTAGCAAATGAATGGAATTAGGACAAAGCCCCTGGTGTACTTGAGGATGTTAGTTCATTGGCTAATGTTTATGGACACTGTGGTCAGTTGGTTTCATATTGTAACAAAAGCTCTAATGCTTGTAATTTATTGTCTGTCACTGGGAAGCAGATTTTGAAAATTTTATTAAAAATTACAAACATAGCAAAAATAAAATAGTACAAGGAGGTCCCACTCAGGTTCAGCAGTGATCAAATTTTACAATATTTTCTTCATCCTTTTTTTCTTTATGTTGATATATTTAAAAAACAATCTCAGATGGGCATACCATTAATTCACTTCTACATACTGTAATATAAGGAGCAAATGAAAGTAGAGGAATAACATGATGAGATCTCATTAATAGATAAAGAGCTCTTGTAGATAACTCATGGATTGAAGGGGTGGGTGGAAAGATGTCCAGGAGTATGTTAGTGTAGTTATAAGAGGGAGCCTTTATAGTTAAAATTGACTTGGGCTCAAATCACAGTTCTGCTTTTTACTAGCTGTATGATCTTAATATCTTTGAGTATCAGTTTCTCCACTTGTAAAATAGAGGCAGTAGTAGTATTTTCCATGCAGGATGGGTGTTAAGAATTTAACATGCTAGTTTATGTTAGTTTTCTTTCTCCCATTTTAGAACAGTAAGATCCCATTTCAGTAGTTTAGAATAGCGGTGATAATGGTAATTCAGAAGTGACAAATTTTAATTACTGGTGGTTCTAGTGAATTTGCGAAGAAGGCACATTTGAGCTTCATTTTAATGAATGAATGAATGGAATCTACTGGACAGAGTGGGAATAGTCGACAGAATTAGAATTGGAAGGAAGACCATGAACAATATATTCAGGAGCGAATATCATGCTTGAGGGAATAGTCTGTCTTTGGGAGGGACTGAAATACAGAACATGCAGTGGGAGGGAACTGAGGAAAATAAGAGATCAAGTCAGATTTTGACCCCAAAGAGGATCATGATAAGTAATTTGGATTCAGTAGTCTAAAGCTTTTAAATTTAAGGACCCCTTTTTCTTGTTAGAGCTTAATTGATTGCTCCACTTTGGGTAAGAGGATTGAAGACTTGAGGTATCCAGGCTGGATAAGGAGAGTAACATCAATAATACAATTCAGCCCTGGCTGGTGTAGCTCAGTGGATTGAGCGCAGGCCTGCGAACCAGAGGATCGCAGTTCGATTCCCGGTCAGGGCACATGCCTGGGTTGTAGGCCAGTTCCCTGCAGGCTATTTCCCAGCAGGGGAAGCACTAGAGGCAACCACACAGTGATGTTTCTCTCCCTCTCTCCTTCCCCTCTAAAGATAAATAAATAAAATCTTAAAAAAAATAATACAATTTACATTTAAGTTCCTCATACATTCAGGGTAAATTCCATTCTTCTGGCACATGGTATATTGGTCCTTCTTGATCTAGTCTACTTGCCTATTTCCTTCTTTAGCCGTGTTAACTATCTTTCCTGAAGTTGATAGGTACCTTACTTCTTTTATGCCTTTACATGAAGGAAGTTGTCCTTGCCTTATTCCGGGCACTCTGTTAGATTTCAGAGTCATGTAGTCATTTACTAGATATATTTAATGAATGTTTATTATGCACTGTGTAGTCATCCTTTGTGGGAATTCTTCCTGACATCTTTTTCCCTTCTTGGATTGAATCTCCAGGTTCACATAATAATTGTATTTTAATCACTTCGTAATAAACCCAGTCAACTCATGATAGCTACTAGTTTACTTATTTCCTCCACTAGCTTGTAATCCTCTTGAGAACAGGTAATGTATCACTTATTTCTCTATTTGAATAATGCTTAGCACAGTGCACAATTAATGGATACTAACTGAATAAATCAGTAAATAATAAATATATCAATTCCAGAATGTAGCAGTAGCTTGAATATATAAAGAAAGTGTATCTTTGAGCCCTATTTAGTAAAGTATATTATTTGAAAGAATGTATAGTGTATATATGAGCCTGGAAAGAAAGTAAAGTCTGTGTCATAGGAGGTTCTTGTGTGCTATGTTTTGAACTTCTGAGTTTATTTAGTTTTATTGAAAGCAAGAAAAAAACCCCATAACATACACAAAAAAAAAGATTTATGAGTTTAGGAATCTAACATGGATAACACTGTAACAGTGTCCATAACAAAATAATGGTAAATGTACTGAAATGATCTGGATAGACTTCTTTATACTTTTTCATCTTCTCTGAAAAAATATTTGCCTACCTTATATTGATTGTATTAACCAATTTTATTTTTCTTCTAGAGCCTATGTTGAAAAATATCTACTGGAGAAGTCTAGACTTGTTTATCAAGAGCATAATGAACGGTATGTACTTTTGCTTGTGTAATTAGATCAAGTTAACATTTGTATAATGCAGATTGACTTTTAGGATCTTCGTATATCATGACCTTTAATTCTGTTTTTTTTCCTTAATTAATTAATTTATTTTATTGATTATGCCATTACAGTTGTTCTATTCCCCCCTTCATTCCTCTCCATCCTATCCCCCCGTCCCCACCATTACCCCCCTTTAGTTTATGACCATGTGTCTCAAGTTCTTTAGATTCTATATTTCCCATGCTATTCTTGCCCCCCCAATCTATTTTCTATCTACTGTCTATGCTACTTATTTTCTGTACCTTCGCCCCCCTTCTCCTCCTCCCACTCCCCTGTTGCTAACCACTCCTTGAGATCTTCATTTCTATGTTTTCACTCCTGATCTAGCTGTCCTTTTAGTTAGCTTTTGTTTTTGTTTTAGGTGTGGTTGTTAATAACTGTGAGTTTGCTGTCCTTTCACTGTTCATGTTTTTTTTAACTTCTTTTTCTTAGGTAAGTCCCTTTAACATTTCATATACTAAGGGCTTGGTGATGATGAACTCCTTGAATTTGATCTTATCTGACAAGCACTTTATCTGTTCTTCCATTCTAAATGAAAGTTTTGCTGGGTCTTTGCTGGGTCTTTGGATTTCATGACTTGGAATACCTCTTTCCAGCCCCTTCTTGCCTGTAAGGTCTCTTTTGAGAAATCTGCTGACAGTCTGATGGGGACTCCTTTGTAGGTGACTGTCCCTTTAGCTCTCGCTGCTTCTAGGATTCTCTCCTTCATTTTAATCTTGGCTAATGTAATTATGATGTGCCTTGGTGTGTTTCTTCTTGGGTCCAACTTCTTTGGGACTCTCTGAGCTTCCTGGATTTCCTGGAAGTCTATTTCCTTTGCCAGATTGGGGAAATTCTCCTTTATTATTTGTTCAAATAAGTTTTCCACAGGTGGCTGTTCCTTTCCCCCCTCTGGTACCCCTATAATTCGGATATTGGAGCGTTTAAAGATGTCCTGGAGGTTCCTAAGACTCTCCTCATTTTTTTGAATTCTTGCTTCTTGACTCTTTTCTGTTTGGCCATTATTTGCTTTCTTCTGGTCCACTCCATTGATTTGAGTCCCAGTTTCCTTTTCATCGCTATTGGTTTCCTGTGCATTTCCATTCATTTCAATTAGTTTCACCTTCATATGTTTCTCTAATTTGTGGCTATAATCAACCAGTTCTGTGGGGATCCTGATCACCAGTGTTTTAAACTGTGTGTCTGAGAGTTTTGCTATTTCTTCATCGCTTAGATTTATAGGCTCTGGGGCTTTGAGATCTTCTTGAGCCATTTTTGTTCTGTTTGTGCCCGTTGAGTACGAGGAGCGGAGCCTTGGACTCCCAGGTCACTGGGCTATGACGCTATATGTGGGGGCGTGGTCAGAGCAGGGAAATGGCGGCCCCCTCTGCTGTTTCGCACAGCTGGCTGAGGAGCAGTGCCTTAGGTGGTTCACCAGGGCAGGGCCACTCAGAGTCGCTGGGTTATGATGCTGTATGTGGAGGCGGGGTCAGAGTGGGGAAATGGCGGTGCCCTCCGCTGCCACTTGCCACTGGGGCCTGCTGGCTCTCGTCCAATCGCCCACTCCCTCGCTTGTCTATCCACGCATGAATGCACGACCACAGTCAATGTGCAGCCCTGCTCCCTCGCTGTTTCCCCATGGACGCTTGCTGAGTTGCCCACCAGGTCCAACCCTGTGCCTGCATTCTGCACGCCTGAGTCCGTCTGACCGAGTTTTCCTGTGCAACCCCGCTCCGCCAGCTGCTGGTTTCACCCCTCTTACCAGTCAGGCTGAAGAATTTGTTGTTATCAGACTTCCGAAAAGTTCAATTTTCTTTGTTCTGGCTGTGTTTTCTATTGCTAATATTTGGTTGTCTATAAACTTGGTTGTGTGAGGAAGCACGGCGTGTCCACCTATGCCTCCATCTTGGCAGAAGTCCTAATTCTGTTCATAGCACGCATAGCTTTACATATGATAACTCCTGCTTTCGTGGACAGAACATTGCAGTTTTTCTAAGGCTGCTAGATTTTTTTGGTGGGTATATAGAACTCTTGCCCTTTCTAAATTCACGCAAACTATCAGGCCAGGAAAACAGTGGTATCTTTGTTCTCTTGGTAAGATTATGCCTTTTGACTGTTTTCTGTGTCTAATGTTCTTTCTCTAACTTGAGAAAAGTTTTTAATAAAGCTGTTAATTTCATTATAATATTTGAGGTATATGGGACTTCAGTGATGAAGGAACCAAATATTAGATATATAAATGATTTGCTTTGTGTAACAATGAGACAAAATTAAGAGTCCGAGTTTGATGATAAACAGACCTACACATTCAAATACTAGATATGCCTTTGGCATCTAATTAACTTCTCTGATTCTTAGACACTTATTTTCATTTTACAAATAGAAAACTATTCTAGAGTCATTTAGGGGATTGAATGAAATAATATTTATAAGATGTTATATATAACAAAAGTTCAGTAATTAGTAGCCAATATTATCGTAATGAATTACCTGCAAGGTTAGAACTAGAACTCAGAGTTTTCTGTTATTTATTTATATTTTTTGTGGCCAGCACATAAGAAAATCTGAATTAGAGGTGTTTCAAAATAAAGGGAAGAGAGTTTCAGGAAGAGAATAACTTCATAAACACTTGCAGAGCTAATAGGTACTGCTACTAGAAGGCTATTAGTAACTTTTTGGAACACATTTTAATGGGAATGGTAGGGATATATGTCTGGTTTCTGTAATTTTGAAGAAGAATCAATGGTAGGTGGAGATCCAGAGCTTATAAACTGATTCTCTGGTATTTTACTGGATTTGATTTGCAGAGGTATTTATAATCCTTATTATGTGTTACTGGATTTGGCTTGGTAGTATTTTGTTGAAGATTTTTTTGTGTCTGTATTCGTAAAAGATGTCTTTGTCTGGTTTTGATATAAGGATCCTACTGGCTTATAAATAAGATGGGGCGAGTTTGTGAAGGATTGGATTAATTTTTCTTGTTCAGTAGAATGTACCAGTAAAGCTATCTGGTTCTGGGTTTTTATTTGTGGGAAATTTTGATTACTAGTCTGTTTAGATATTCAGTTTTCTACTTGAGTCAGATTTTGGTAGTTTATATTTTTTCTGGGAATTTCATCTAGATTATCTAATTTTTGGCAAAAATGTTGTTTATAGTACTCTCTTACAACATGTTTTAAATTTCCATAAGGTTGTTAGTAATGTCCCCACTTTCATTCCTGTCTTAGCTCATTTCAGGCAGATATAACAAAGTAGTAGAGACTGTGTAGCCTATAAACCACAGAAATTTATTTCTCACAGTCCTGGAGACTGGGAAGTTTAAGGTCAAGGTGCCAACATGGTAGCATTCTGGTGAGAACCCTCTTCCTGGGTCCTTATATAGTAGAAGGGGATAGAGAACTCTTTGGGGATTCTTTTGTAAGAGCACTAATCCCATTCGTGTGGGCTCCACACTTACGACCTAATCACCTCCCAAAGGCCCTGCCCACTTCCACCTCCTCATCCATCACTATTTGGAGTTACAATGTCACCATAGGAATTTGAAGAGTACACCTTCAGACCATAGCAACCTACTCCCTCTTTTTAAAGGACCAAGCTTGGTTCCATTGATTTTTTATTTTTCTTGCTGTCACTTTTTTCTCCTGTCTTCAATTTTCTGCTCTCATGCTTATTACTTCCTTTTGTTTGCTCTGGCTTTAGTTTGCTTCCTTTTTTTTCTTTCTGGTTTCTTCAAGTAGATGGTCAGGTTATAGATTTGAGATTTAAAGTTCCACTGAACACTGTTTCTCATGTTTAGTATGTTGTATTTTTATTTTCATGCATCTCAATACATTTTCTATTCCTATGTGATTTCTTCTTTGACCTGTTGGTTATTTAGGAGTGTGTTGCTGAATTTCCACATAGTTCTGAATTTTGGAAATTTGTGTTACTGACTTTTAAGATGGTCAAAGAATATACTTTGTATGATTTCAGTCTCCTTAAATTTTATTGAGACTTATTGTTTTATAGTCTAATATTTTCTATTCTGGAGATTTTTCCATGGATGCTTAAGAAAATGCGTACTGCTCTTCTTGTATGGAGTATTCTGTAGATGTTTATTAGGTTTAGGTGGAATATAGTATTTTTCCAAGTCCTTTTCTTCCTAGTTGATCTTCTGTTGTCTGTTCAATATTGAAAGGGGTGTGTGCGAGAGATATCTCAGTACTGTTATTGAATTGTTTATTCAGTGATAAAGGGGACTTACAACCAAGATTACTCTACCTAGTAAGGCTATCATTTAAAATTGAAGGAGAAAAAAATTGAAGAGATAAAGAGCTTCTCATATAAGAAAAAGGTAAGAAGTTTCCCACCATTAAACCAGTATTAAAAGAAAAGTTAAACGTACTTCTTTAAGAAGAAGAAGGTAATAGAGACTTCCGCCAAGATGGAGGTATAGGTGGATGTGCCGTGCCTTCTCACACAACCAAGTTTAGGGACAACTAAATATTAGCATCAGAAAACACAACCAGAACACGGAAAATTGAACTTTTCGGAAGTCCGTTAACAACAAATTCTTCAGCCCGACCGGTAAGGGGCGAAACCGGCGTCTGGTGAGGGGTTGCACAGGAGGACTCGGTCGGACGGACCCAGGCGCGGAATCCAGACGCGCGAATCCAGACGCACGGGTTCCAAACGCAGGATTGGACCTAGTGAGCGACCGAGCAACCCACCAGGTGAGCGACTACAGAGGAGACAGTGGGGAGGCAGTGCTGTGTGTTGACTGCGGTCGCCTATTTGCGCGCGAGCTGACAGGCGAGGGAGTGGGCGGTTGGACCGGCCGCGGCACAGACGGCGCCACCATTTCCCCACTCTGACCACGCCTCCACATACAGCGTCACAACCCAGCGACCTGGGAGTCCAAGGCGCCGCTTCTCACACTTAAAAGGGCCAGAACAGACCAAAAATGTCGC